AATCTTAATTACTAAAAATTTCTTAGAATAAAACGCTATTAGATGGAGCTTGTCATCTACTTCCATTTGTGACAAAATTATATCTATAATAAGATTTAATATATCTATTTTTATAAAAAATATCTAAAAAAAGCTAATATAATATAATATTAGTATAAAAATAAATAATATCTTCAAGGCTTCAAAAGATGCTTCAACTTCTCTATTTCACTCAAGTTTGCCTTTAGATGTCAAGTGTGTAAGAAGAGCCACAATTTAAAAAAAGCTTTTGATGAAGATCTAGTAATAATTGGCAAATCGTAAAAAATATTATACATCTTTGACTATTTTTGGGATCTTCCAATGTATAATAGTTTAGATTTTTTTAGGATCTATCATAAGGTCATCATTTAAAATAATACATCGTAAAAAGTCAATATGAGTAGTATAAAGTACATACTTTTTTATCTTGGCATATAATCTTGCATCTCTTAGTTATTGTAACATACAACAAATATGAAGTTTATATTATTCTATGTTCTTAAAATAGATTAAGATGTCCAAATAATAGATAACAAGGTTATGAAGAAATTCACACAAGACATCATTTATTAGATATTGAAAAGTAGATGATGCATTCATTGATCCAAACAACATGATATTATATTCAAAATGTCCATATTTGATTCAAAACACAATATTCCATTCATTTCCTACTATAATACATATTAAGATGTATGCTCTTTGTAGATCCATCTTTGTATAAATCTTTACTTAATGCAATTGATCAAGAAGTTCTAAAATCAAAGATAGAGGATACTTATCCTTCATGGTGATCTTATTGAGTCTTTGATAGTCTACACACATCCGTAAAGATCTATCTTTTATTTTTTCACAAATAAGATAGGAACCCTTGTTGGAAATTTAAAATGGTATATGAAGTTTTTAGTCAAGTTTTTGTCAATATATTCTTTGAATATAGCTAACTTGTTTTATAATAGGCTATACATTGGTATAAATAGTGGTTGAACTTCTTCTTGAAGATCAATGGAACAAGCATAAGGATAATACTTTGAAAGCCTATCTACATTTTTTTTTCAAAAATATCTTAATAATCTTCATATTGGCTTGAAATGCCACTTGAAGTCTTTTTTCCATCAAAAATAGGTTTGACATATATAATAAAAGTTGATCCTTCTTTGCAACATGCATGAAAGTTCTTGTACCTATCAATAAGAGTTTGGACATATTTGACTTATGAATTTCTATCTGATTAGAAAATACTGGATTAAATCACAAGTAAAATTAAGATTATGAAAAATCTAGTCTATTTAAGGATTATACTTCTCTAGCTACAATAATCCTAAAATAATTGGATTAGAAGAAGATCTAATTATATTAAATATTATTAACTTATTATGACCATTAATTGTTACATCTAAAAGAACAATTTCATGGATAATATCTTCAAAATTCAATAAATAATTATCTATTATTTTTATATGCATGGATTTGATTTTTTGAATTAAAAATATATCTTTTTTTACAAAGTCTTTGTTTATAAAATAGGTTAAGGCTCCTAAATCTAAGAAAAATATTTTGTAATTTCTTGGTCTTAAATAATTTTCTATTATAAATCAGATAAAGGATCTTAGAAGAAAATAGAACCTTTATTAGATATTACATAAGATTCCAATTAAAATTGAAGAAATTGATTTTTTGACATGCTGTTTTTTTTGGCAATCATGCTCCTCATTCTATAATTGAATTATTTTTTGGACAATATTGAATAGTGTGCTTAGGTTCTTTACAATATAAATACAAATCTTTTTGATGGCATTGAGTTTCTTCTTGTTCAATAGGAGGTTTAAAACATATTGTATCAATTTGCATAAGTTTCAATTTTCTAAATAAGCTTTTATGAATTTAGAAGCTGTAGCTCTGACTTGAGTTGACTTGTATCTCTTCAACCAAATCTTTGTTTTTGGCATCTTTCAAAGAGTCAATTGTCATATGCAATGGCTTAAGCAATAAATTGCTCTAATGAATCTGCTCATGGCATCATCAATAGTAATATGCAATGGCTTAAGCAATAAATTGCTCTAATGAATCTGCTCATGGCATCATCAATAGTAAGTCTTTGACATTGTCTTTTAGTCTATACCAAAATTGATTATTGAAAGTTTTATTGTTTCAATCTACAATGTAAGCAAGGTTTTGAAATTCAATAGCATATGTAGTGACTAAACGTGATCTTTATTATAAAGATATAAGTTTGGTCTCTATTATCTTTTTTCAATCACTTTCTCCAAATGTGGCTATAAGAATTTCCAAGAATGAATTTAAGTTGTAGAATTTTTGTAAATCCTTTTCCATCAAAAGTATAAACTAAAAAAGGGCACTTCCAAATAAAAGTGTATCCATGAATCTTACTTGAATAAATCCATTGAAATACTAGGATACAATTTCAATTAGAGCTTTATTTATTATAGAAATCCTTAAAACTTTGATCTTGTTCTATCAAATTTCACTAGCATATTTATCATTATTTTTCTCATATTTATAGTAGTAAGACTTTTCAAATTCAATTGTGAACTTGATTTATTTGCTTCTTAATTGCACAACTTCTTGGCATAGACTTTAAACTTTATTGTTGAATTCTTATACAAATGTAGGAATACTACATTTATGATTAATATTAGAGATACGTGAGATTTTTATCCTAAGAGTATTGATAAGGTCATAAAGATCCACAATAGTTGCAAATCTATTCTTACTTCTACTAAGAGTAGTATCTATAAATTTTCCTTCTATAGACAACTTAAATAAAGACAAAAGTCAAATTAGAGGAGGATAATCTACAATCTCTAATTTAAAATGAAAATTTCTACAAAGAGGAATAATCCACTCTCTTTAAAAAAAATATCAGTGTTAAAAAAACTAAATGTTAGTTCAAAGGTGGATAGTCCACAGTCTTTGAAATGTAACAATAGAAGTCAAATAATCTACTCACTTCTAAAATCAAAGTAAGAACAATGAGTTAGCACTCTTATCAAATTGTCAAAGATATGAATCTCAACGAATTAAAAAATCAATATATTCTTATGTCACTCAAAAAGATTAAAAAGACATTCAATTGTGATATAGCATTAGATTAGAATAGCTATTATCAAAGAAAAGAAGAATAGAAAGTCTTGAAAAAAGACTAAGGACTAAAAAGGCATTGATAAGAGTAAAGAAGACTTTATTCTTGCTTTCATATATACTATCTAATTAGAAGCTATATGGCAATATTTTATAAGACCTCTAAGAGATGTGTAACTTATAAGATATGTGTCTAACTTATAAGATAAGTTTCTTATATGTACACCATGTGGTTAGCTTATTTTACAAGCTGTTAGCACATGCAATGTATAACTAACTTATTGGCCAAGTTTTTAATCTACTAATCAACTATAAACATGTCTGAAGTCATATATGCATCTATGAAGCTTTTGAGAAGCTTTATCATAAAATAATATCAAATCTATCTATATTTATCTTCTATATAATACTTCTTATCTATGTAAATATATATGTTTGTAATATTACCTTCCTCTTTCACTATTTTTTATCTTTAGATCAATGTGTTACTAAAAATGCAAGCGTTTTCAGCCTACTTTAGTTTCCAACCTAGTAGTTTGATACACATGTATTCTATTAATTTTGAACTTCAATTCCTTATATTTGTAATATTGCAATGCATAATAATATACAAATAAACAAAAGAGGGTCATCTTATTGTATGAATCTAAGTGTCTTTCTTCGATGCAACTCAAACAAAAGAGTACTTTATTTTTTACCTAGGCAATAGCCTACAACAAATACTAATGTCGCTTTGCAGAACAAATATATTGTCTATCATCTTTTGACAATACTTAGCACATCCAAGAAGTCACCTTACAAATAAGAGTATTCATCACCCCTATGAGGCAAATGTTATTTGGTTATATATCTAGTAGTAAGTTGGAAGTAGAAAATAATCCTAGTCTTTGGTTAAATGTATTGAAGCTATGAGAAAAGACACAAGGTTTGTAGGTAGAAGTCAATAAAATTGATACAAAGACTTTGTATTTGTTATTATAAGAGCATGCATCATTCAATACAAGATTAAAATGCTCCAAAATAGTTGCTTACTCAATGTTTGAATGTGGTGTTGATTTTGTTCAAGTTGAAGTAGTAGAGGGATGTAGGCGATTGTACACAACGATAGAAATATATTTGAAAAGTAAGTAAATACTTGAAGTGGAATGAAAGCAATTGAAAGTGGTGTGGATACATGATCATGGAGGTGGATAGTCTAGAGGATCCTAAATGCATTAGTGGGGCAAGTGACTCTTAAATTTCCTTATGGAGGTTGTATAGGCCATGATTTGTGGCAATGAGGGCTTGGGTTTAAGTAGTCCTAACTACCAACTAATAACATGGAAAATAGCTGCAAACTAGGGGGGCATTTTTGTGAGTAACCAAGTTTAAGTTGAGTGCACAACACTACAACATGCTTGAATGCCCTTGCATTGCTAGATAACCAAGCTTCAAAGTCCAACTTTTAGTAAGACATGACATTTGATTGCAAGAGATACATAATCTAAATGTCTGAGTTTGAGCAACACAACACCTTGGATGCTGTTGAGTTGGGAGAAGCTGAGGGGCAGATTGGCCATCTTTCACATACACAGGTCTTCATTTTTCACATTCAATGGTTACAAAATATCAAAATAAAAAGAATGAAGGAAAGAGAAAGGATAAACGAGGTGAAGGGATCAGCAGGAAGTCTCAAAAAAAATAAAAAAATAAAGTAAAGTCATAATGGCTGTTTAAATTCGCAAAGCTAATTCTTAAACTTTGGGCAGCACCTAGAGAACACAAGGCATTTTGGCTCGCATCTTCAACTTGCGGGAATAGGTATCATTCCGTAATTCTTACAGAACAGGATTACTTTGATCAAACAGTTGAGGGTTTGAGGTCATCACAGATTCATGTCGGAGAGATTATTGTGTCAACTTTGATGCAGCAAAAATCAGCTTCTGCATCTCGAATTAACAAGGATTATTGAAACTAAATAATTTCAATGAAAGACTCGTCTACTCTTGGGGAAGTAGCCTAGGATCGCCCACAGCATCATCTGTAACAGTACCTAGCAGACCCACTTGCAGACCTAATAAGCTCACTAACCTCCTCGCCTTTGTTTCAGCCCCCACAGAAATAAGACACTCTAACAATGTCCTCACTAATTTACAATCCTCCACTTCGTCAGCTGCCATTTTTGCGCATATAAATTGCTCCAGTTCCAACATAGGTAATTTATGCAGAGCCTCTCCAAAAATTGAAGACCATTCTGCTGTGTTGAGAGCCACACCCAGTTCAAGTAAAACATTGAGAAAGTTAAGGGTCAGGTTGTATTGCCTATGCATGGATAGCAATGGTAGAAGCAACCTGTACAAGTCTGCACTTGGAGACTCGTTCGGACGTTGCAAATGCATGACCATGAGGTGAATGAGTCGTTCCTGTTAACACACACAGTTTTGTCACCGTTCCTTGCCAAAAACAGAGAAGTCATAGATAAAATCAAAAAACAAACACCTTGTATGATACCAAGGTTCACTCATAAGGTGAGTTGGTCATACCTGTCCAGCTTTGGTAAGGGGCGATAAGAACCATGCATGGCGTCGGCATTCCAGGTGAAATCCGCGAGTATGAAACTCTTCCAAGACTACTTCAAAATAGTCCCACTCCTTACAGACCACGCAGGCACCTAGCATAGACTCATATGTTTGCTCAGTGGGACTAAGCCTTGATAAATTAGCTTGATAAAATTTGCTTTCCTTGTGTGCGCCTCTCTTCACTAATTCAAACATGTTCTTGGCTTTCTCGAACAGGCAGTGCCGCCCATAAAGGGAAATCATGATGTTATATGTCCCCAAATTTGGAGCGCACACAAATTGTTCCATGTGATCGAATAAAAATATGGCGTCTTGCCAGCGGCCTGATTTCTCACAGGTGTGAATCAGGCCAGTGTATGTTACCACGTCCAGTTTCTTCGTAGGAAGCTTGGCTAGCTTTTCCACCTGCAAGAACCATTTTCCACACATATCCTGTGAGAATAATAGACCGAGCAAGATCCGTGTCACTTTGAACCGAATAATTCAATGTTAGGACTCTCAAAGCTGATTAAACATAAGTATGTGGGTGAAGGCATGTGTCCGCACTTGCACAAGAGCTTCCGATAACCGACCCGCAGTACAAAGAGCTGATGCAAGTGCATAGTACACGCCGGCACATTCAAGGATCCCTCGACGCTCCATATCATCTACCACTTCAATGGCCTGGTCTATCTCTCCAGCTGTACCAAGAGCCTCCACAAGTGCTGCACAATTAAAGCGTTCTACCCTTAAAATCTTGTACTTTGCGTGTGATGAAACGAGTCCATACTACAAGAGATTTTATGTTTTTGAGAAAGTTGAAAATTTTCACATATGCCAGAGGTCTAATACCACACTCTGAATTTCAGATAGATCCAACATGAATTTCTAATCATAGTTATTATTCGAGCGAATTCTTGATTACTACTCACAATTATCATAAGGAAAGCTAGTTCCTCAGACCTTGAGTAACGAGGAGAAGAAATGGCAAATAACTAAAGTTGATAGGACAAACCCTTGAAAGTTGAGGCATTGGGAAGAAAATCTCCTCTCTCCATAAGTTCATAATATCTCCAAACTTTGTCATACTGTCTTGATTTTACCATAACCTACGGCCCAATCATATCCTGTTGTGAGCTTCAAGGTGCCCTGATCCCGGCTTAAGTTGACGGCACACATAAGATCAGAGATTCGTCACGAAAGTAGCCTATTCCATAGAAAACACATTTGCAGCCAGTAGAATAGGTGAACTGGAACATCAGAAAACCCAGTGCACTCATCAACTTTACAAGTAGCAACTGCCGGCAACAAGTGTGTCACAAAACTGTCATGCAATATCTTTGATATTTCAAGAATTGATTCTTACCTCAGTTGCAAGACCATAGGTGGCAGAGTTGGGCTTAATTCGAGAGGATTGTATTTGTCGAAAGACCCATTCCGTCCCTTCCCATTGTCTATGAGGTACACATGCATTTATGACCTGTGTCACCGTGCCCGCTGTCCAGATTTAGGTTTTGCAGTAAAGATCTGCTTCTGCTTTCCTCAAAGTGCGACTTTAAAGAAAACAAAAGGGAGGCTAGAGCAGGTGTTTACGTACAGCATTGTAAACCACAATGTCCGGCTCCAGCCGCCCATTCCAGTTCAACTGTCTGGGTGAGCCCTTAACAGTCTTCTTCACAGGTCCCTCCCTTAGAGATTCAATTAAATCCAGCAACTGCGTAAGATGACCAGCCTGGCCGAGTGTCACAGCAATAGAGTGATAAGCAGCCATATCTGGGTAAGTCGAGTGTTCCTCCTGTAGACACAACATACCCTGTACGTGAATCCTTGATATTATTAAAAACACTACAATCTCCATCATACACGAATGCTTTATTGAGCGAACATCCGAAGATCTTATATCAGTAAAGACACTCGAGCTAAACACGAACTGTGCAATCTACTGATGCTGGAAAGGATGGCCAACGATACTTGCCCATCCTTTGTGCAAGAAGCTGGCAAAGGATAACACTGAGTTGGTGGAACATACGCGCATTGCGTTGAAGACATCCAATGCTTCTGCAGGTCGATGGCACTTTCCGAGTACAGCCAGCAACGTCGTCATAACATGTCTGCCGAAAAAGCAGTTTGGAGGCCAAATCACTCCATGAGATAGCAATACAGAAATTACGGACATGCTCCAGAAAGTACAACATACTGAAGTAACAGTCTACTGACAAACACTGATTATCCAGAAGTCTCTCGGTCAAAACCATCTTGAACTAATATCAAAAGACAAGCATCAAATGTGGCCCTAAAGACTAAATAGGCTAAGGATGAGATATGAACAGTAAATAAATAAAAAGATAAAACGTATGATAAAACTAAATTGCACCTGTTTCGACAGTGTGCGAAATGCTCTCGGTGATGAACCCAATTCACTACTTCCATGGCTCTCCGCCACTCACGACACGCCCCAAGCATTTTTACTAACTCCAACAGACGGGAGTCCGTCCATTTCAAGCGAGCACTATGCATGAGCCGTGAGAGGAAAAATTTCTGCTTCTTGCTGGATCCCACTAACCTGATTTCAAAAAGCTGGCCTCAGAAAATGTGTAGCACATTCATTGTTACTGGTTTACAACACGACGCTAGCGACGTAAAATATTACATGACATCAATCCGCAATAGACTTTCCTTCAAAATTTGCATATGATTGATTTGCATGAAAAATGAAAGTCAGATCTCAGACGTACTCCTTAACCAGCCATTCCAATGACTCTGTCTCATCGACTGGCTTCCTCCAAACTTCAGTAGTCACGTCCTTGTGCAATGCCTCGAGCATACGGTATGTTCTCGGAGTAACATACTCTGAGTTATTATCTAACAAAGTTGACAATGGCTCTCCCTTTCTTCTACTGATGATCTGATGACCGACAGTTCTATCTTTTCGTCTAGGGGTTTTGGGATTAACACGCCAATCCCTCGGACCTTCAAGATTATCCAAAGAGTATCCATCTCCAGATGCATCCTCAGATGCTGCGCCTGCATGTACTTTATCTCTACTGTGCAACGAATTTCTCGCTATCCTGTTTTGAAGCCTAGGGTTTCCTACGGTGGGCCTTTCGATGGGTATACGTTTACTAAAAGAATGATCAATAACATGAAAAGACGATACATCAGAAGACTCTCCTGCTGTTTTGGTACGAAACCTCTCATCCTGCTGACTATTCACAGATGAAGCTTCTCCAGCCCTATGTACACTTCGCGAGAACTCATCAGGCTTAGGCTGCATATGTGTTGTAATAGCCACACCCGTGCTTCCCTCCTTTCTTTGGACCTCCACCCTTCCTTCGTGAATTTTTCGAATACTGCCATCTATCACTTCAGTATCTGCAGTTTCCTTCACAACTAAATTACCGTTGCTATGGAATGCATACGCTAAAAGCCAATCATCTATCCCATCCTTTTCTTCGTTCGAATCCCCTTTTATGCCCTTCCCTGGACTATTCAAATTCTCGCTCACAGGCTCGGCTTTACTACTTTCCAAGCTCCTCTTACTGCTGGGTTTAATGCGACTAACTGCATCCTTAACACATGTCGCAAACTCCTCCTCAAACTTACTCAAAAGCGTGGATTTCCCTTTGACGCCCGACTTCCAGACATCACGCTGGAAACTGCCCCCTTCCTTCTCAATCTTTTCCTTCTCAAGCTTATATTTCTCAAAACTACACAAACCTTTCCTCCTTCGCGGACTCCTCCTGCTCGCTTCCAGCTCCTGCTGCCTCACAATCTCAGCCACTTTCTCCGCCTTCCTCACTCTCCGCTGCTCCTTCCACATCCGCAATTTCATCTTCTGGTGCAATTCTTTCGGTGTGAGCTCCGAGTCAGGCTTCCGTACTAGGTGCTCCCACCTACAGACCGGAAACCCAACATCCACACGACGAGCAGGAATTTTCAAGGACACTTTAATTCCGAAATTGTAAGATCCCCATGAACTCCCGAACGAGAGAGACTGAAGTGACGAGGTTTTCAGTTCCATGGTGACTGAACACGATTCCGTTCACGCAGCGACGACTAGTATTCTCACATGGCTGTGGCTATGGCTGTGGAAATACCGCAGCAGAAATGCAAAGATTGGAATCGAACAGTGAAAAGCAAGTGGTTTAGGGTTGAGGGGTTAGGATGGGGGTGGAACCTAAAATCTATACGTTTCGTGGATTTTAAGTGAGAGTGCCAGCCCTTTATGTTCCTCATTCCTCACCGAAAGCGAATGTGTACGATTATAAACTGAGTCTCAAAGTATGGGAATGTTCACGCATAGATGTATTCGAGACGCATCGCTTCTCCTCACAGTTTACGATTTCTTAACTCGAAACTTTGAAGGACTTCAGTGTGTGTTTTCTCAAGCGAGTGATGACGATGGAGGTTAGTTTCTGCGCGTAACCACTGTAATGGCATGTCTGTGAAGGGCGACATGAATAGTAAAACCCGCGTTTCGGGGTCTTGTATGGTGAAGTTGTAGTTGTGTTTTCGTTCACAATCCTCAGTTGAAGCGTGCAGCATCTCCGACCAGCCATATCTGTAGGTTCTGCAAGTCTTTGCTATTCACTAGATCTCTTTTGGTCGATCGGTTGGTGTCGTTGCTGAGCGAAGTGGATTCGACTGGAATGGGTTCTCAGAATTGCACCGAGATGTTACTTTCTATGATTGAATTCCTTCTTCTATCAATTCGTTGTTATTCAGCTCACAGCTGAGTTGCTTGTGTTGGGTTATTTGGTCGGTGGGCTGTCAGTGGCATTTTGAGGTGTTGATCATGGAATCGTTGCTAGCGTTCTGGAATACTTCAAGGGACAGGATGAGGAAACCGGCGGTTAGAGTAAAATAAGTCGATCTAAATGCCCAAGTTGTAGATTCAAGTTTGAATCTGAACGGGAAAACAGATGGAACATGTTATGAATCTCTACATGCAGCAAAATCCTTCGCAATTACCAAGACAGGCAACAAGCTGCCGGTTGATTAAGGCAAGCATAGGATCTTGGCTAGCTCTACCTGAAGATCTAGACATCCCTTTCCCATGGAACCATAAACCACGCAATTTTGGAAAGATATTCTCAATTGCTCAAGCCAAGGAAGATGTGCAATGCTTCATGGAAACAAGAATCTATCCATTTGGGATAATGCCTTAGTGGTAGCAATTCACTTCCATGCATGAGCACGCTGTAATGCTTTACTTCAGCCATTCTATTGACTGGTTCACAGAAGACCTTAAATTGTCAACCTTGATCTATAGGGCACTACGCATGGTAGTGAAGTAGATAGCACAAGGACGGATGATGTTCCACCGACAGCAGGCTCTCCCAGAGTTCGTCGATTTAGACGAGGACCTTCTCTATTTGGACCCATATCTCGTGTGCACTGAGTTCAACCGTGGCATGAACTAGCATCCAACTAAGCGCAGAGGATGCACGTCGAGAGATCATTTTTTACTGCGTGATTTCGCAATGGACACCCTAATGCTTCGCCGTGAGAAACTCGAAAGTTGAACCACCAATTCAAGTCTTGACCTTTACATATGTTTCGTTTTGCTTACACCACAGAAGGGAAATTATGTGGCTGACTGCTGCAGACGAGTAGATTACAACGTGTGCATATATGGATTGGTCGTATGCAAGTTCTTTCCATTCCATCGACAAATGTATGTGCCTTTGGGAGGATTTATGGAGGACACTAACCTTAATCTGGAAACGGACCCAGTGATCATTATTGACACAAATTTTATATCGGGCGGTTTCAGAGTCTTAGTTGCATCCACGTCCTTTCTTGCCGACCATCAATAATCATTACTTGGGATCTCTGTCCACTGGACAATCCTCACAAGTGCCGTCTAGTACATGTCACTAGTGTTCGTCTCTCCTAGAAGCAAGTGAACGCTAAGAAATAACTGTAGTTTTTTAATAAAAAATCGAAAATAGATTTGGTCGGCATCGTCGATCACATGGACAATGCAATCCTGTCAAAGGGTCCAATTGCTCACGTTCATAGGATTGATGATTGTGACCCAATTATTGTTACATCTAGACACCAAGACGTATTGAACTCTGCCAATAAACAGGCCGAGCACTTGAAGGTTTGATGTTGAACTTGATGAGTATGGCCTGTCCTTCAAACGGCGTTCGTTCTGTAGCAACACCGTGTTAGCGACTTGGTTAATTAGAGGATTGAAAGGAGGATGTATGCGGCGATCACCCGTTGATGTTAGGGATTATTAGCTCTTCCTTGATTGTCATAAGAAGTATGATTGCTGCAATGGAGGTCCTTTTCTGGAGCTCAATTCCCTTCACCAGATCTGTTTGTCCAGGAACTCAATGATTAAGCCTGGTTTGGTGATCAACCGGACCATAGCCATTGTTACCTGGATGATTGGATCATGAAAGGAGGCACGCGTGTCTACAATTCTCTTCGAAGGAACAACTCTTTTGTGCAAACACTCAAAAGTTGTCAATAAGATTTGTGTCTTCTCACCGTCCTAGTGCAATGGATGGAAGATAACAGTGTCTAAGAGAGCTATTGTCCCTGTGCACAAAGAAAATGAACACCAAGTCATTGTTCTTAATTCAAGTTGTTCATTAAATGTTAGCCAACCACCAAGGTAGATGGCCAAATTAAGCCATTTTTATAACACTTCCTATAGGTTGATACATCTCATCGTTTTTTAAGGTTGTATATCTTCACTTATCTTTGTATTAAAATCAATTAATATTCTGTGTTTAACTAATACAACCAATGCTTGACATAAAAATGATTTAATTATGTGGCGTATTGTTAAAGTAAGTAAATAAAAGTAAAAGTAGAATAAGTTACATTGTAGAGGATATTACCATAGATAAGTTGCTATTGGTTAAAGGGTTCACTTTTAATATGTAAGAAGGCTAAGAGATAAGATAGATGAACAAACAAAAGATCTTAAAGATATAGAAGATATGCTAAAGGCATATTCTTATAATAGATAAGATAGCTATGGATAGTTTCAATAGAATATTGTATGGATGTATTCATCAAATGATGGAAGTTGTCTATTAGGGTAGCAACCACTACCTATAAGTAGTGGATGTTGGAAGTGAGAGATATCTTAATTCATACTTTCTTTGTGAATAATCTTATTGATATTATGTCTTGGTGACTTCAAAGTTCTCTTTTCTTCAATAGGTTATGAATCTACTCACTTTTAGTTGTGAATTTTGAAGTTCTTTGAAGTCTTTTTTGTTATAAAGCATAGATCCTATGGTTGTTGATGATGTTAGGTTTTAATATCTTCTAAACCTTGTTTTGTATCTAATTGTTAATATAGTTTTGTTCTTACTTATTGTTAACTACATTCATTATATTATAAGATAACAATCACCTTAGAATGATGTTATAGAATACTAATATTGTGTTTCTTTGTTGAGTTAGATCATTAGTGTACTAGTATTGTATTTTTGTGTACTAAATTTTTTAAGAAGTTTGATTATAATCATAAGAAGTTATTTGTAAGATCAGAAGTATTTTTGTGAGAATTGAAAATGATTAAAGACTGAAATCACTAATTCATTCACAAAAGAAGTATTTTAGGCTTCTAAAGCAATAAGACCTTGTTTATTTAGAGAACTACATCTTCTCTTTTTTTGATTTTTTTTTATATATTTCTTCATTAGAGATGGCTTCAAATAAGAATGAGGGCTTGAGAATCATTCAGAAGTTTAGAAGTGACAATTTCTACCATTTGAAGAAAAAAATAGAACTTTTGTTGGCTTCATTGGACCTTTGAAACATTATTGATGAAAGTGAAGAGCCTTCAAGTGATGATGTTGATGTCAAGGTAAAGAAAGAGTATAAATATTGTAAAAAAAAAGGTTTTTAATATAATTGCATCAAATTTGGATGATGCCAACTTTTCATATATAATTGCTTGCAATGGATCAGTGGAAGAATGGAAGACTATTTGTAACATCTATGAGAGTAGAAATCTTACCAACATTCTATGGACAAGGAGGAAGTTTTTAATAATAAAGATGGAAGAAGGAGATGACCTCATAGCTCATGTCAATAAGATAAAAGTACTTACAAAGCAAGTAGCAATTGTTAACAAGTCTGTTAATAATAAAGACATTGTATTGACAATATTTATGAGTCTTTTAGAATCCTATAACTACTTCATTGTGGTATTGGAGTCTATCAAAATGAAGGAGCTTAATATGAATTATATAACGTTAAGATTAGCCTATGAAGTGACCAAAACAAAAGAAAATGAATTTCAAAGTAATGATTTGGCTTTATTTTTAAGACAAGGCAATGGTAGTTATTTTCACTAATAAGATAATTTTAAAAGAAATATAAAAAAGTACTATATTTATAAAAAACCAAGTCACTTTTTAAAGAATTATTACAAGGCTAAGAAAGAAAATAGAGAGAATGCAAATAATGTTAGGATAGTTTTGGTGGAGATGATTATACTTTCATCGCAAGTGAAGGATCTTTTATAGCTGTCATGTCCAAGTAGATTATAGATTCATGTGCTACTAAGTACATGATATCATATAAGTGTTCATTTTATACTTATGAAGAAATTTCAATAACAAATTTTTGGTTGACAGAAAATAATATAGTGCAATCTATTGGAATTGGCTTCATTGTGGGAGAGATTAATTTAAAAGACCAAATGAAGAGGATCAGATTTAAGAAAGTCTTACATGTGTCAAAGATGAAGAAAGACCTCTTTTTGGTAAAAACAAATTTATATTATATAGTTGTAAGATTCAATTTCATATGAATGGATGTTTTGTGAAGACATTGAATGAATAATAGATTGTCAAAAGCTTAAGAAATTACAACCTTTACTTCATCAATTGTAAGAAAGTAAATAGAACCGAAATAGCTACATTTGTTAAGTTTCTATAAAATCAAGACAAGTTTAGAATTTGATATCAATGACTTAGTCATTTTAATGCCAAAAGCATGAAAAAACTCCAATCTATGTTATGTGGCTTTAAACTTAGTCAATTCATCTATAATGCCATGATACTTGCTTTTAAAGGTTACATCTAAGGCAAATAATAAAAGACTTCATTTTCAAAAGGAATTGCATCACATACTAGCAAATTATTGGAGATTGTATATTCTGATGTTTGTGGACCAATGAAGATGTC